CCCAAGCAGCAAGTGGAAACCTGCATGGCCCACAGACTACAAAGCAGCCAAGTCATAGCTCCCAGCACACAGACAAAGGTAGCTTGTAAGGTGAAAATAGCACAGATGTGAACAAATGACCCCAAAGCAGGACATTTAACATATAACACCAACCATAAACAGCCAGAGACTCCAGGTAGCCTTCCTCCATAGCAGTTGATGCCAGGGATCTGGCCTGGCGTCCAAACTTGCATTGCAGAAAAGTTGGACTACTGAACTGTCACCCAGTCCAGTGGTGAAAAATTACACAACTCTGTGACTACAAAGTCCTACCTGAACATCAAGAACATGTTAATGGAAAGACTATTGGTGACTAAAACTAAGAAACACTAGCTACTCAGGAAGCTGAGATCTAAAGACCCTGGTTCGAATCCAGCCCAGGCAAGAAAATCTATGAAACTCAACTCTTATCTCCAATTTACCACCCAAAAACCAGATGTGGAGCTATGGCTGACCTCAAGCAAAAAAACCTCAAGGACAATGCCCAGGCCCTGAGTTAAAGTCAAAAGGACTGATACATATAAACACACACACACACACACACACACTCCCAACCAACGGCTTGGCTTCATTGTATAAATCCTAATGCAGAAAAAGAAGAAATATTAAAATAATTTAGAATGAACCTCCAAAAAGTCAACAATCTTTTGGATAATAAAGAGTTTTAAAACCCAAACAGCCAAAATACTTACGCTAATGAGTCTAACAATTAAACAAAAACATAGAGGGCATATATAAACTTCTAAATGAATTCCAAGAGAACAGTTGAATGAATTTCAAAGAATATAAGTAATAAATCGCCAAAAGAACTAAGGAAGACAATACAGGATATGAAATAGCAACCAGTAAAGAGACAGAAGAAAATAAAAAAAAAACTGAAATTCTAGAAATGAAAAGTTAATAAGTCAAATTTTAAAAATTGAAGCAGGGTACCAGTGGCTTACACTTGTAATCCTAGCTACTCAGGAAGCTGAGATCTGAGGATTGTGGTTCAAAGCCAGCCCAGGCAGGAAAGTCTATGAGATGCTTATCTCTAATTAACCAACAAAAAGCCAGAAGTGGGGCTGGGAATGTGGCTTAGTGGTAGAGTGCTTGCTTCGCATGCATGAACCCTGGGTTCAATTCCTCAGTATCACATAAACAAAAAAAGCTGGAAATGGCGCTGTGGCTCAAGTTGTAAAGTGCTAGCTTTGAGCAAAAGAAGCTCAAGTTCAGTGCCCAGGCCCCACAGTTCAAGCCTCAGGACTGGAAAAAAAAAAGCCAGAAGTGGAGCATTGGTTCAAGTGGCAGAACACAAGCTTTGAGTAGAAAAAGCTCAGAAAAACATCTAAGCCCTGAATTCAAGCCCCAAGATCAGCAGATGTTAAAAAGTAAAAAAGGATGGCAAAAGATTCTATATGCAAATGCAGGCCAAAGGCAGGCTGAAGTATGTACACTGATATATGACAAAGTAGATTTCAAATCAAAATTGCTCAGAAGACAAAGAAAGTCACTTCATACTGATGAAAAGGAACAGACTATTAAAAATGTGAAACAAGCTGGGCCCAAGAGGCTCACACCTGTAGTCTTAGGAGGCTGAGATCTGAGGATCACAGTTTCTAGGCAGAAAAGTCCATGAGACTCTTATCTCCAATAAACTAATCAGAAAAATTCAGAACTGGTGCTGTGGCTCAAATGGTAGAGTACTAGCCTTGAGCACAAAGAGCCTAAGGGACAGCACCGAGACCCAGAGGATCCAAAAAAAAAAAGAAGAATGTGAAAAAATTATAAACATATATGCACAGACTGTTGTTATACTTAATTTCATAAAATCAACACTACCAGACATAAAGCACAGATTGATCCCCACACAATAATAATGGGTAAGTCCAAAACCAAACTTCAGCAGTAGATAAGTTATCCACACCAAAAAAGACCAACAAAGAAACTTCAGAATTAAATTACAAAACAGATCAAATGGACTTAATAAATGCCTGTAGAATATTCAACCCAATTGCCACAGCGTGCACATTCTTCTCAGAAGCCACTGAAATTCTTCCAAATCAGATCAGATTTTAGGACGGCAATCTAATCTTAACAAATACATTAAGATAGAAATGAGTTGCTGTATCTTTCTAGACCCAAATGGAATAAATCTTGAAAGCAACAGCAGAAGAAACCATAGAAAACATTCAAACACATGGAGGCTGAACAATATACTGCTGACTAATCAATAACTCATCGAAGAAATAAGGAATCAAATTTTAAAATTCCTAGACTCAAACAAAAAATGAAAATACAATTTTGGGACACAGAAAAGGTGGTGCTAGCTGTGAATGCCTATGTTAAGAAATCAGAGACCTCAGTTAAATAAATTGAGAAAGATTCACGTCAAGCATTTAGAAAAATAATAAAAAGACAAACCCAAAATTAGTAGATAGAAAGAAATAATAAAGATCAGGGCAGAAATTAATAAAATGGAAACAAAAGCAATAAGAAGCTGGGTGTTGGTAGCTCATGCTCATAATCCTAGCTACTCAGGAGGCTGAGATCTACAGATTTCAGTTCAAAGTCCACCCCAACAGGAAAGTCTGTGAGACTCTCTCTCCAGTTAGAAAAGCTCAGGGACAGTGCCCAGGCCCCACTTTTCCAGCCCATGCAATATATTTTATATATAGGCTTTATATTTATATAGAAACATATATGTGTGAGTGTATATATAATATATATACATATATATATATATATATGTGTGTGTGTGTGTGTGTGTATATGTATGTATGTATAAGCCACCAAACCAGTATACAAGTCAGAGAGAGGCTAGGATGAGGCGAAAGGATGGAGACCCCAGAAAGCCCAATATAGAGATGCAAAAGAGCCAGAATGGAAGCCCAAGAATGAGGCCAAGGGGGCTGGGAAGGTGGCTCAGTGGTAGAGCGCTTGCCTTGCATGCAAGAGGCCCTGGGTTTGATTCCTCAGCACCACATAAACAAAAAGAAAAAAGCCAGAAGTGGCACTGCGGCTCAAGTGGTAGAGCGCTAGCCTTGAGCTGAAGACCTGAGGGACAGCGCCCAGGCCCAGAGTTCAGGCCCCACGACTGGACCCCCCCCCCAAAAAAAAAGAATGAGGCCAAGATAGCCAGGATGGAGGCCCCAGAGAAACCAGGATGAAAGCTTGAGAGGACCTGAGAGCCAAAATGGAGGGACAAGAGAGCCAGGATGGAGGGCCCCAGATGCAGGCTCAGAGAACCCAGCATAGAGACCCCAGAGAGCCAGGATAGAAGCCCTAAAGAGGCTTCTCTTTTTACTGTCAGGCTTAATACTCTTACTGGTTGCCAACTAAGCATGATGATGCTAAGCAGAGATGCTATCTTAAGATACTCAGACCAGGTACCATTGGTTCACACCTGTACAAGTTCTGGCTATTCAGGAGGCTGAGAACGAAAGGAACAGGGTTTGAGGCCAGCCCAGGCAAAAGAAGTTCACAAGACCCTATCTTAAAAATAACCAGCAAATACTGGATCACAGTTGAAAGGATTACAGTTCAGAGCCAACCTGGGCAGAAAAGTCCATGAGATTCTTTTCTCCAATTAACTGTCCAAAAAAGCCAAAAGTAGAGCTGTGGCTCAAGTGGTAGAGTACTAGCCTTGAGCAAAAATGCTCAGAAACAGAGCCTCAAGACCAGTATCCCCCAAAAGAAAAGAGAGCTAATCCTAAGAACACTCCAAATTCAGGAAGCCAATGAACCCAAGACATGAACAATTAATTACAGAACCAATAATCTTTAATATCTGAATCTTAGAAAAAGTTAAAAACAATTAGAGTATCTGATTGGTAGACTTGGTTCTATTGTTACATCTAGATCAATCAACCATGATCAAGAAATCACAGCAGTGCATGGTAAGATTCTGGGAATCATTCTACACTCAAAAGTTGGTAGTGCCAAGTGCTGTCTTCCACAAACATTACTCAATGAACATGTACTGAGCCTCTATGTTGGTCAGTACCCATACTGGCCACTAGAAATACCAAAGGGGGGTCAGGGAGGTGAAATTGCTAGCCTTCTCTGACTCCAGATTTTCTTTTGATTTCTTGCTCTTTTTGGTTCTTTCTTTCTTTCTTTCTTTCTTTCTTTCTTTCTTTCTTTCTTTCTTTCTTTCTTTCTTTCTTTCTTTCTTTTGCCAAGATCAGGACTTGAATTTAGTATCTAATGTTTTCACTCATTGGTTGGCGTTCTACCAACTGAGCCATGCCTCTAACCTAAGAGTTGGTTGTTTATTTTCTTTTTCTTTTCTTTTTCCCAGATTTTCATGTACTGAATTCCTTAGCTAAACTGGGCTGGCAAACAATGAATTACACAGGGGCTGGTGGCTCATACCTGTAATCCTAGCTTCTCAGGAGGCTGAGGTCTGAGGATCACCATTCAAAGACAACCCAGGCAGGAAAGACCATGAGACTCTTACCTTCAATGGACCACCAGAAAAACAGAAGTGGAGTTGTGGCTCAACATGGTAGAACAGTAGCCTTAAGCAGAAATGCTCAGGGACAGTGCCCTGGCCCTGAGTTCAGGCCCCATGACTAACAAAAAACAACAACAACAAAAAATGAATTAACTCTTGCCCTGCTCCACCACTAAGAAGAAAATGTGTGTTTAGTAAACTGCTGGACTAGGATGAACAAGGCCCTGGATCCGATCCCCAGCATCAAAGAGAGGAGGAAGAAGAAAGGAAGAATCCCAAAATATGTTTTACAGACAGCTGTGTCTCCCCCTCTCCTTCCCGCGATGAACAATTAAATTTTCAGTGAAAACTGTTAGAAGAAAAAAAAAAAAAAACAGAATCAGAGAAAAAGCACCAGTGCCCTGAGTAGCCCTAAGTAGCCCTTGGGCTTTTGACGTCACTGCTCATGGCCTAAGGCCGTAACAAAGCCAATAAAGGCTGGAAACACCCGAAATCAATCCAGCTCCAAGCCTCCTCTCTGGCACCCAGCCATGAAGCTACTTTTTCCTATCTTTGCTAGCCTCATGCTACAGTACCAGGTGAATTCAGGTAATGTGGACTTCTGGGTTTACGAGGGCTTGCTATGAGGAAACGGGAATTGGACGGCTTGTGACAGTAGGAAGGCAAAGAGGTGGCGGAGGTGCTACACTACTGCTTCAGTCATGCATCACCCCTATGGTACCCCCTTGGGCCTCAACCCTTAGACTTTGTCTAATGGTGTCACCCTGAAAGCTATAGGCTATTTTCTGTAAACGCTCTGTGTGTGTGTGTGTGTGTGTGTGTGTGTGTGTGTGTGTGTGTGTGTGCATGTGTGTATTCTGTATATCCAATAGATAATGGTATCCCCCTAAGATTTAGCCCAGGTCTATCTTATTCCAGGTCTCTTTCTGGTTTAAACTACCTCTTAAAGCTAAGGTTTAAAGGAGGAACAATCCCCCACCTTTAATGCTCATAAGAAATTTTTCATGGCTGGGAATATGGTTCAGTGGTAGAGTGCTTGTCCAGCATGCATGAAGCCCTGGGTTCAATTCCTCAGTACCATATAAACAAAAAAAAGCCAGAAATGAAGCTGTGCTTCAAGTGGTAGAGTGCTAGCCTTGAGCAAAAGAAACTCAGGGACAGTGTCCAGGCCCTGAGTTCAAGCCCCAGGACTGGCAAAAATAATTTTTTTTTCCGTGTGTGTTCCAGTAGTGGAGCTTGAACTCCAGGCCTGAGCATTGTCCCTTAGCTTTTTCACTCAAGCCTAGTGCTCTCCCATTTGAGCCATGATTCCACTTCTGGCTTTTGCTAGCTAATTGGAGATGTGTCTTATGGATTAAACCATGAATTCTCAGACCTCAGCCTCCTGAGTAGCAAGGATTACAGGTGTGAGCCATCAGCACCTGGATCAAAAAGAAATTTTTTTTCCTTCATAGGATTTAGTATTTGTTCTCTATCTCACCTCTTTCCTATTTCTACAGTCTTATTCCTTTCATGTTTTTGTCTTCCTGAAACCCCTACGCCCCCCCCCCATCCACCCATTCTCATATAAGGGCATCTAGAGGTACAAAAGTTTGAGCAAGAAGATTGGCCTTTGTTTCTGAAAAATAAGATCTTTGAGGGAGGGGCTGGGAAAGTGGCTCAGTGGTAGAGTGCTTGCCTTGCATGCATGAGGCCCTGGGTTCGATTCCTCAGCACCACATAAGCAGAGAAAGCCGGAAGTGGGGCTGAGGCTCAAGTGGTAGAGCGCTAGTCTACAGCTAAAGAGCTGAGGGACAGCGCCCAGGCCCAGAGTTCAGGCCCCACGACCAACCAAAAAAAAAAAAAAAAGATCTTTGAGGGACAATATCCAGAGAGGTTGAGAGCGACACACCAACCTCTGTCCAGCTCTAGAGATTGTGAAGGACAAAGAGATCGAGGAGCACTGGGTTTGACCAGATAGCACCTCTGAAAAATTCTACTAACTCTCATTTCTAGTTCTTGTTTGGTTTCATCATGTTATGTCATGTCCTCCAATCCAGCCATTTTGTTGCAAGTGGTAGAATGTTGTTTATGGGGAGAGGGGGTTGGTTATAGGGCTTGAACTCAGGGCCTGGGCACTGTCCCCAAGCTCTTTTTGTTCAAGGCTAGCATTCTACCACTTTGATCCACAGGGCTACTTTTGGTTTTCTGGCTTTGAACCATGATCCTTAGATGTCAGCCTCCTGGGGCTGGGAAGGTAGCTCAGTGGTAGAGTGCTTGCATTGCATGCATGAGGCCCTGGGTTCAATTACTCAGCACCACATAAGCAGAAAACGCCCAAAGTAGCACTAAGGCTCAAGGGTAGAGACTCAGGGACAATGCCCAGGACCTGAGTTTAAGCCTCACAACTGACAAAAAAAAAAAAAATCATCATAAGTTACCCCAATGGGATATAGACCAGTCATTACTAGAGGTTGGCAAAGGCAAAGGAAAGAGAAGGTGGATAAAGAAGGCTAGGTTCCTGCTGGGCACCAGTGGCTCACGCCTGTAATTCTAGCTACTCAGGAGGCTAAGATCTGAGGACCATGGTTCAAAGCCAGCCCAGGGAAGGAAAATCCGTGAAACTCTTATCTCCAACTAACCACCAGAAAACCTGAAAGTGGTGCTGTGGCTCAAGTGGGAGAGCACCTGCCTTAAGCTGAAGAGCTGAGGGACAGTGCCCAGGCCCAGAGTTCAAGCCCCACAACCAACAAAAAAAAAAGGCTATGTTGGATCAGTGTACACTGTATCCATGATATTGAAATATCACACCAGACCCCAAGTCATACATCCAATTAATAATGCTTACTTGAAAAACTAATTTTAATTCTTTCTTGGAATAGTTTTATGATGGATTTCACAGTCAGTGGTAATTCCTAGGGTTGTAGGATAAGAGAGCAAGGCTCTACAAGTTGCTAAGATAGCTGGCCCAGGGGGGTTGGGAGGGGAGGGAAGGCATTGTCCTAAAAACAATTACTTGGCTTCCATATTCTTTCTTCTTTGGATCCCCAGTTATTGGTTGGTTGGTTTGTTAAGTTACTGGAGGAAAGCAGACTAAAGGAGAGATTTATTTTGGATTCCACAGGTATTGACAGACTCTCTTGACCTGTCCAAGAGCTTCCCTCAATATTCCTTTTATCCACTAGCCTTAAGGATTACCTCCCTCTTGCTCTGTTCACCTTCCAGCAGTTTTAACCACATCTCTAGTTGTTAACCATGACCCAATGGTTTCTCTTTCTTCTCTGTGCAGAATTTTTGGCCGTTAAGAAGTGTTTAATGGGTTTTGGGAAATGCAAGAACACCTGCCGCGTGGATGAGAAGGAAATACAGAAATGCAAGAAGAAAAAATGTTGTGTTGGCCCCAAAGTGATTGAACTGATTAAAAACTACCTACAACAGGAAATACCCAATATACCAGATGACAACCTTGTAGAAATGCTCAAGAATGAAAAAAACATTAGTGTTCTGATGCAAAAAACATTTAAGTCCCCTGTTCTGTCCCAAATGAAAAACCCCAATATCAATTCTGCCATCATCCCAAATGACCCACAGGGGAAACGCAGCAGCAGCAGCAATACCAGGACACCAAAATATACGACATGCACGGCAACTTTCTCCAGGAGTGTCACCAGACAAAGCCCAAAGCCTGCCACCTCCTCCTCACCACCACCACCATAAATCCTGCCCACACCACCAATGGCTCTGGAGAAAACTCAGGACCTGTGATAGGGGTCCTGTCCTTCACACCTCAAGCTGGTCTCGCAACTCAAAGAATCCCAAGCTCAACTGAAACAAGCTCCACAATTAAATAAAATATATAACTGTGTCTTTGGTCATTTGGTTTCAATCAATACAACCCAAGCACCTACAGCTGGTGTTACGTTATCATTGTCATGGTGACCTTAGAGATGAGGCTGGGGTGGAGGGATGGAATTTTACATGGAGTAACCAGGGACGGAGCAAGGCCAGGACCACTGACTGACTGAGCACCGAGTCTGGATCATGACTGGCCCACATCATGTCTCCACTAATGAACACAGGACTCTAATAAACTGTGCTTTTTCTAGAGTGACAAGAAGGAAAGTATCAGACAATATGCTGGCTTGCTTGCTTTTGTGGGGAGAGCAGGGGGGAAACCCATAAACCAACAAAACATGAGGAAAGCATAGCTGGATGCTGGTGGCTCGCGCCTGTCATCCTTGTTACTCAGGAGGCTGAGATCTGAGAATCAAGGTTCAAAGCCAGCCTAGGCAAGAAAGTTAGTGAGACTTCTCTTTTTCTTTTTTTTTTTTTTCAGTCCTTTGGGTTTGAACTCGGGACCTGGGCGCTGTCCCTGAGCCTCTTTGGGCTCAAGGCTAGCACTCTACCAGTTGAGACATAGCACCACTTTCAGATTTTTCTTTTTTTGGGGGGGGAGGGGTGCGGTCGTGGGGCCTGAACTCTGGGCCTGGGCACTGTCCCTCAGCTCTTCAGCTCAAGGCTAGC